CCGGGTGAGAACTTGAGAAAAGAGTTATAAGAGAATACTTCACTGATCGAACATTCTGTCTTTCGTTTCTGTCAATACATGTAGATGAACATTTACGTTCAGTGGAAGCTTCTCACAAGTGTTCAGTGAGTGTTCTCATTGTTAGACGCATTAGCAGACAGATGAGCACAGGAAACTGAATATCGTCACTATGACAATACAGCTTGTCAATCGTCCTGTTTATCTGTTTATTCGCTCCCTTATGACGTTTTATTTGTTTCGCGGGTAACAAGTCAGACGTGCGTTCAAGTAATCCGGGTGCGAATGTATTCAATATCACGCTACAGTGAGGATTCTTCTCTAATTGTAAGGCTTGGCACTTTGCACCCATGGATGGGGGGCAGATCGATGATGGAATAGCAGATCACATCAGAGTAGTGGGTGACGAGGGCGCGGGGGTGGCTTCGATTATACAAATAATTTCCTCGTGTACAGGAGCAAGCGAAGCATGAATTGAAAAGCTAGGAAGTACACGCACTGTACAGACGTTTCCATCTGGTCTGGTCTGATCAGCAGTGCGAATCCATCCATTCAACCGAGAATCGAGTAACACCTTGGTAAATACAGCAAAAGAGTAACAGTATGGAGATCAAGCTCCATTTGAGTGATTCACCTATCGGTCAATGAGAGCACATCATCCAACTCGGGAAACAATGCAGAAAGATGGAAAATCAGATTCTTTTGTGTGTAAAACGGAAGAGGTAGAAGAGGGGTCGGTGAGAGGTGAGACACGAAGGTTCAAAAACGTATCATCACTGGGAATAATTATATGCGAGGAGTGAATTTGCCAACGAACTATTAGATTGGAACACTCGGGACACATGATCGCACGAATTAAATCTGAATGCAATATGAGAATGCGAGAGTTTATCGCCATAACAGTATCTCTGCCATAGATTTTAATCAGGCTTTAACATCCTTGGACCAGACATCTTCGTCCGAATAAATGTTTACGGAAAGACTTACACGAATCAGCGGTATGATTCCTTTTGGTCAAGATTATATCAACCACACTCAAACCTGATTTTATGGGCTTTTGACTGAGAAAAGCTATACGGTGGTTTCCCCCTTTCGATTCATAAACTACGCAAACATTCAAGGTTCCTCACGTTTTACTAAAAACAACAATGTCCCTTTGCTGCATAAGTTGCTTGTGTACAGATGTTGTTTGGCTGCAACGCTTTTAGCCCCCGTGGGGAATAGCGCTTCGTTTCGCTGCTGTGCTTCCGGTACACATTGCTTTTAGGAATAATTTCATGAATCACTTTTTTTTTGAGATTTGTTTGGTGCTTTTTTGGTTGGTTTCTTTCCCGCATGTTCACACCACTGGGAATTTCCTGTCTATCGTTCGTTTCAACCATGGCTGCGGAAACGGCCACACGCAAACAGACACGCAAGAAATCACCGATGAAATTTGTTCAAGGACGCAGTTACATGAAGTCGCCCAAAATGAAAATAAAGCATTTTCGACTAATTGTGTTTGTCGCATCTGATAAACTTCGGGTTGAGAAACGATACTGATGCATAGTTCCTTATAAACTTGTCTGGACAAAGACAGAAGAACACGACTGAATAGGTTTGAACGTGCTAAGCGTTGGTGGTATTGTTGATTCATAGTATCATGAAAAATGTGTAGGTGGAAAATAACATGTACTTTAGCTTTGCGTTTTTTCACCTTTTATCCTTTCAGTACAAAATAAATCATAGCTCATTGAAAGTGCGGTAATTTTGCAGACCTGAAGCAACTGACCCTTCATTCAGATAACGCTCATGGCGCTTGTTGGCGGTGGTTTAGTTATGCAATAAATAATCCGGATTAACCGTTTTATACCTCTTGACCTATCAGGCTTCAGCCAAAACGGGCAACTCATTAGCCAGTATCCACAATGTTTTCGGCACGACCTCTAGTCGCCCATTAGTCTCGAGGTAACAACATTGATTCGTTGTAGACGAGTCAAATCAAGAAGTATCGAGAAATGTTCAAAGCGTTTTATTTTCTACAAGTGTTGATGTTGCAAAGATTGGTTAAGAAAAGATGTGACGATCGTATGCGGCGCAGTGGACGGTCCTAGTCTGTATTGTGTTGTGTTGTACTCGCAATAGTTATCGAAATCAAATAGCAAAATCTCGGAATCCGAATGAAAACCCACTGGATAGCCAAAATGAACTGTGAATAGAGTTGGTTCGATTCAGTCAAACAAAAACAAAAATAACAAATGTTAACTGTGCAATGGTTCATTCTTCGCTTGATGATCAGTATCGAAAGGGTCTGCTTATTAGCCCTTCAGCTTTCAAACAGCCCGATTGCATGTGGTTGGTTGGGTTCACCAAACTGATGGAATTCTCCATTTCCTGATAGGCTGTCTGAAAGCTGTATCGTGGCCCAGTCGTACTATCATTTGATATCGTTGCACAAGCAGCAGAGTGATTCTGATTAACAGTTGTACAGTACAATTAATCATCTGGTCGGGGGACGATTCTATTCACCAACATTTTGAATAATCCGTCTAAATTAAGAGATATCAACACCAGTGCATAACTGTTATTGTGAATGTCTTGGTCTTTGGGAGTTTATGAAGGGCCACCCTTGTTCCTTAGATAATGCCAATGGTCGAGTTCTTTAAGTTGCTGTCAAGGGCGTTTTGTGGGCCCTAGGACTCTAGGTTCGAACCCGACCACTGCCATCCACCTCTGGTGATAGGTAGCTTCGCTATCATCTGAATCAATACAACATTTGACCTAGTGTGGTTCACCGTTTGAAGTTCCCGGGCTTAAGTAATCAGCGTCTCCCATTGAACAGGAGATTTTCGTGATTTTGCTGTTTACTCCGTCTGATGTTTGTTTATCGTACAAAATTGTGTACTAAAAAACATTCCTTTTATTTATGATGAAAAATCTATGAAGATGCCGATATGGAGAACAGTACGGCAGTTTTCATTTAGGAATTCGCAAGAACCAAGACTGATAAACGGTAATAACTAAAAAAAATAAGATATCAGGAAAGCATAGGAAATAATTTGCCAATTTGATTGAGTGATCCACGCCATCTAGATTTTATCATGGTTTGGTAGTTGAGAAATATTGGTTTCGGTTTCCAATCTGAGTATTCCCTGTTGGGGTCTCCAAATGAACACATAGGGTGCGCACCGTTGTCGAATCTCTACAGTGACGGAACAGCTGTCTGGAAATCTGTCTCGAACGCAGGATTGACAAGAGACCAGTAGCAATATGAATGAAGGGACCGTTTGTTGTTTAAACCTGTGTGAGCTTATATGCTTACATTTCAGCTAACAATGTACAGTGGTCATCACAGAGGATAAATATACCCTCGTATAACATGCAAATAGAAAATGTTGCTGAAGTTTGTTTCATGCACACAAATTCTGACGTTCTTGGTTAGAAGTCGGGTCGGGTGAGGTACATGATAATCGTTTTAATTGGTAATACGAGAGTGTAGATGCGGAAGAGGTATGTGTGGAAGAATAGGAACGGCAAGATGACAGATTGGGATGCAGTCTAAAATTTTATGGACAAATTTAACACCGCAGTTGATCTGATCATTACCGAGTTCTGTGAAAAAATGAGGCCACTGAGATCAATAATTCGTGACTGATTATCATCAAACCACCTGAGGAATGGTGGACACAGAGGAGTAACGGAATAGAACCGGAAAACATTGGTTAATAAAACAGGACAAAAATAACTGTGGAGTTCGGTATTGCCCGAGTTTGCCTAACTGAATAGAGGGGCTTCACCGTATATTGTGTATGGTGACACCCACGTACTTGACAGTCGTCGTTTTGGACACAGGGTTACAGGTAAGGAAATCAGAGTCCGTTGGAAATGAGGAGAGGGAAGGATTGAGCTGGCACTATGGGAACATGACTGTGTTAAGATTGAGACCAGGTTGGTTGACAAATTGTTGAATGTGGGATAGAATTTCACTGGATACTCAATGCACAATCCATAGGCATTGACAGCGTGCGTTCAGAGTGTTGACGAGTAAAATGTCACGGATATTTGAAGGTTAGTGTTCGTTTTACACAATTGTTCAAACTACATTACCGCACTTTGTTTGAGCCGATTCAGTTGTGTCCAGTAGGTTGATTTGATAAAATGGTTCACCTACGTATATCTGCATGATTTTTCCTAAAATATTAAGAAACTCTCTACTGATGATGTCCATCTACATCCCAACGCTCTTGGTAACCGTTTTATACAACTATACAGTAGTGACGAGGAAGGTTAGGGAGCAACATTCTTGGTAAGTAAGTGTTAGTGTGGTTATTCCATATCACCCATGTTCATATCGGTTCCTGATGACTGTTGATCCATTTGAGGAGTTAATGTACAACAAACTTGATAAAACCAAAATGTTCGCTTTCCCTATTCTGCAACTTCACGACGCCCATCTTCCAAGAGGAAGACGAGGATGATTCCGAGGAGGATTCGGATGATGACGATGATGATGATGATGATACGGATGATGACGATTCGGACAATGATGATGATGATGATGATTCGGATGATGATGATGATGATTCAGATGATGATGATGATGATGATGATGAT